CCTGATTTTTACAATTTTAAATTTGAGGACCTGATTTTTAAATTTGCTTAAGTAAATGCCTGATGCATAAACTTTTCCCCAAAAATTAAACAGTAGCCTACAACTGCGGCCCAATACAGCAGACCCATCAACCCAGCCAAACCTCAACTTTCATCACCACATTGAATTCAACGACATTTTCCACATTAGATTTCTTGGTCTTCTCATTCTACATGACAACCACTATAGCAAAATCGAGGTGCTAGTCTCGAAAAGCAAAAATACAGGGAAATTATAAGCCTTCCACATAATTCTAGATCCAGTAAGGTTCCACTCAAAATTGTTGCTTTGATATGGAGCAGATTCTGCTTGGGGAAACTTTCCATTTGTAGAAAACCCCTTAAACCCATCAAAGACCTCTGTTCGCGATTCAACGAATACACTGGTCACTTTCCATGCAAAATCTAAATTTTTTGATAATCTTAAAAGTAAGATCTCAAATTCATCTATAGAAACCAGTTCTGCAGCTGATTCGAGAAGCTCATTTGCATTCTTGTATCTAACAATTGGAGCAACAACCTTCTCACGACTAGGATTGGAACAAAACCAATTTCCTTTGAAAGGTTGAGCAGTCGTACACATGGGTTTTTGTCAACAAGCACGTACGTTGACTTCTCTATATCAGGGATAGACTCAAATGAGTTCTCATGTCTAGAATCTATCCAAAACCAAGAGTCACACATTGACAAAAAAATCATCAATCGTGGACCACCACAAGAATCACACGTTGACAAAAATTATGTCAACCGTGGACCACTACAAGAAATATATACTTGAGAGGTTGAGTTATGACCAAAGAAAATCGAGGATCAGTATAAATCTCATAAGATAGGTTCTAATACCATGACAAACTTTTGATTCCTTGCATTATATACGAAGAGTATTAACTTATAAAACTATGATATCAATGTGAATATGATGGATGTAATTAATCCAAATATGGTAAATACAATTATATATCTAATTATGTTAAGTCATAATCTTCGTGATCTTTATCAATCTCCATGATCTCTGTCGATCTCATTGACACGTGACCTTATTGCAATCATTCATAAATGTGACAAATCATCAAGCACCATATTCGGAATTCTAGATTTTCCCACACATCATTATGAATAAGGCCGAAAGGAACCACGAATCTTTCATTTATTGATCAAATGGAACCAGATGATGTTCAGCCATTTCACAATGAAATGATATTTTATTGAAATCAAATGAAAGAAATATCTTTTGTTTAATAAAGAATTAGTGGTGACCCCCGTATGTTATGCCAAAGTAAGATATCCATCTCTTTCAAGGACGATGAACATGGTTCCAAGATGGTCGCCTCCACTCTTAGTCTCAAGTTAGAGAGGAAAGGCATGAAGTGGTACTGCTGGAACAAAACAAGTAGTTCCAGTTGGACCGTAGAGTCTATCGTTTTCCATAGCATGCACAAATATTTTACCTGTTTTGTCATATATAACACAATGAGAGGGAAAGGAAGTTAGTGAACAAACTAGATCTTTGGAAAGTTTTGTCTTCGACATAAGATGACATGTTGAATTAAGAACATATAAGGTATATTTAAAGAGTCTTGAATCTTTAAGGGAGCCAATCCTTGTTTAGCAACATGACAATCATTGCCTTCTGTTGTGCCTACAGAAGTGTATAACTTGAGAATAAATGAGTAGACCTAGTTATATGGTTAGAAGCTCCTGAATCAATGATCTAGGAGTTAGAATAACAATCTTAAAGAACACTTGAACCTTTAAAATATCACGCAACTTAATATTGGAATAAGAGGCTGCCAATTGATTGAGCAAAGCCCTTTACACAAACCTTACACAACAACAGTAAGAGATCTGTGAAGACAGAACAATGACATTGCTATTGTCATCAACTAAAAAAAAGAGTTTTGACAGACCTGACAAATGTTTCTCCATTTAAGCTAATATATATTTGAGAGGGAGCCCCATTGACTACAGACCAAGAAAAAACTTGCCACTTTTGATAAACTTGTATTGGATGCCTCTCAGTAAGAGAACTTTTTGTATTAGAAGTTCCTTTACATATAGGAGGATGTGTGTTTTTAATTAATACTTAAAATCTGGATTGGATAAAACCATATTTGGACATGCAATTATGGAGGATGGCCTGATTTTTTATGATTACTTCAACTACCAGTCAATGATAACCAGTAAATGGGAACTGCTTTTCCATGTTTGTATAGGGCTCAAGCTTGGTCCTGAGTTCCTTCAATGATGAAGATATCCTGGTTTCTTTTGGAGGATATAATGGGCGGTACAATAATGAGGTTTGAGCTGCCATTTAACTTGTAATTTTCCGTAAGGTGGTTTCCTTTGTCAATGCTTCAATGATGCTTTGCTTGCTGCCATTAGGTCAATGTACTTAAACCAAGTCATAAATCAACCTTTAAATCAAAGATGATGGAGTCACAAGTGCCTGAAATGTGTTTCAGCTGTCCAAAATGCTACAAATGCTACTAGAGACGTGGAGTCTGAGTTTGAGATAGGCCAAGAAGGAAAAATGAGGGAAATTGTTATGGACAATGTTGATTCAGAGCCAATGGTACGTAATGTTGCATACTTTCTTATTGGGTTTTATTTCTATCATGCACTTGTACCATTGTTATTGATTGGCGTGATACTTAGGTTAATGGCATACACATGATCTTTTTTATCTTTCTATAGATGGGACAAAACCACTTTTCTTGCTAATTGTTTGACTAGGAATGGTAATTATATTTAGTGTTACACATTCATTGAATTCACTTGTATAGTTGCAAAAACTGTCTAGTACTCCCTCCATGAACTCCTTCCGCCAAACTGGTCATTTATTTATTTATTTATAAATTTAGAATGCAAGTATGCACTTTCATATTTTTTATTATATAATGAAAAAATTATTAAACTAAGTAATATTAATATCACTCGTTTTCCCAATATCATTAAAGTTAAATTAATATGATATATGGTGTCGAGATTGACAATCTAATTTTGTATTGTAGCTAATGTAGCAAAATATAGGTTGGAGTATTTAATATATCACAAACATCCTTTCCTTGCAACAAAAACCCTTCCTTGAAGAGCCTTTGACATGCATTCTCACTGTAATCCAGAGCAACAAGGTTGAAGAAACCGATAAGCATTTCTTAGCAGCCCTCAAGGGTGAAAATAATGAACTAGTATCTTCCCTCAGTAAGAAGAAAATGCAAACCCTCCAGCTAAAGCAAGAGTTGACGGAAACTGAGACTCACTACACGGACCTGTACAAGGTAACCTCTTTTGCTAATTCATCAGTCCATTTTGCTATTGCTGTGTAAGCTTAATTTAAGGTAACAAGGGCTAAAATGTGTTTATGCTCTATGCATGAACAAGAATTGAGTCATTTGTATTGTAACAGAATATACAATGAGTTTCACGTCATTAAGTAGTGGCTTCTAAATTTAATCTTTTCATAAATTTCGTAGATATATTGGATCAGATATAGTTCTATCTGATATAACAATTCATGAAATTTATTTTGGAGTTGTTCTTGCACAAATTTCTTGACAAAAGTGGGAGTTAGACAAGTGCGAGAGATCATTACACCGGTAAATTTGCTTGCCAGAAAGGCTCTATCATCTATAAATATATTGAAGCTTTACGTGCACGTATTATGCCATTGTGATTTGTGTTTAATAATTTTTTCTGAAAGAGATGCCTATTATAATTGTAAAGTGCATATTTATTATGTCTGTTAAGGAAGTAAATAACGTCAATTAGGCAAGAGTACAATTAGAGTTTATTGAGTTTCCATTCTTGTGCCAAGTTACCAAA